AAGCATCAGCTAAGGCAGTGAGGCAAGTCTACCTCCAGACACATTTTCAAAGAGATGAAGCCAGTGCTCTACCTTCAATTTCACTATTCTACAAAAACATCTTGTACAATTTTATAAACAGTTTTCCATTAAATCTGAAAATGTCATGGGTGCCTTTGCAATAATCCAAGCTACTAATCAAAAATTCTTCTTCAAATATATCCTGTTCTTATGGAAGAAACTAGGATTTTTAACATTAGCTGCACTTTAGAATTGCCAGAAGAGGTAATTAATTGGCAAACTATTCCTCTGAACAGATTAAAATCAATACCTCTCTCAACTTTACAGAAATTTGTCCTCTGGAAAAATGCCAATATAGTCCATAAAACACAATTACTAATCAGCAGCCCTGCTTGATAATTACTCATTCTACCCTGCAATAAGATGTGAATAAAGATTTATCCCATAGTCATCCACCTTTTCAGTTCCTTTTCTTTGGAGTACATTTTGGCATTTGCTTCAAATTCTTTTTAACTATCATGACCACTGTACAAAAAGGTGCAGGTCAAGTCTAAAAATTCTGACAATCTCGAGGAGGTCAGCTATTTTGGCAGGTGGAGCTATCACATTTTGAACTACTGCAAAATACTGAAAACACAAAGTCTGTTCACGAAGTAATTTCTGGGGAACCTTAGCAGTTATCATAATTTTTAAAACTCAGGAAAGGGTTGATGTCATCTACAGAGAAAGATACTAACAAGGATATGGACTGACCAAGGAGGGAAAGATTGTGACAAATGATGAACAGTAAGAAAGACCATCTCTCTTCTATATTACGACATGAATAAATTCTAGATTATAAAGGAGTGTGTTTCTTTATCAACATTTCCAAAGCAAGAGATCTCACAGTCAAGAAAGCAGATTTTTTTCACTTTAGTAAAACCTAGTCATCATCATGGCTGGGCTTCGCAAATGAAGATTTGGGGAGGGCTCTACCCACGTTTGTTACAAGCGCGCTGGTGGCTAATAAGGCCAATATGAGATAGGCACGTCCAGTTGCAAAAGGCAGTAAAACCTAGTATTCCTAAATTAACTGGATTGCTTTTGTCACCCTTGCTGCTAATTTTCAGCAGTATTTTACTTTACAAAGAATTCAGATACAGCTAGATCCTTGCATGTATTCATGTTTTCAGCATTCTTTTATCCCTTCACTTTGTGCAAATGTCAAAGCCATTCCCTTTGAAAATTACTTGCACTTAGAACAGTCTTACTACTTTGCTGCTAAAAAAATGAAATAAAGTGAAAGCCAGTCAGTATTACTGGAGTAATGAGATTTGACTGTGCAGTTGGTGGGCCTTTATTCATAAGAATTTCTATAAAGCCATATTTTCTCTAACAGACTCTCTTATCGTTTTTCCTGTTTTTCCTATAATGATTAAAAGATTCAAAGTGAAAGGCTTCTCATGCATTTTGAAAAGATCAAAACTGAACTTTACAGTAATACTGACAGTCTTCTAAAAAGCATGCTTTGATAAAGAGCACAAGTAATGAAATCACGTAAAAATGGTTAAAAAACACTAGCATGTGAAGCCTACAAGGGCAAAGTCAATTCCTGCTTGTGTATGCTTGCTAGAAACAAGCCCTCAAAAGATGTGCAATATAACACAAAAAAAAAAAAAAAGATGACATTTCAGGTGTAAGGAAGACCCAGTATCCTTGTGGGCTAATATCACATTCCTTGTAGCATAACTTACTATTAGAATTGAGTAAATACAGTAATTACCTATAACACTGGAATCATCTCTAGTTGTTCAAAGAATCCTGTTGTTCCATTTGTCCTCCTCTTTCCAAAAAAACTGAGGTAGCAGAAAAAAATCTGGAGGCAGAAAAATAGCAGTACAAAGAAATAAGAACGAGCCATTGGGAAAAAAAAATTTAAAAATCTCAAAAGCAGATTCCCTACTCTATTCAGATAGAACTTCCTTCCATTTCTGCTGTGATTCCTAAACTTTCTGAGGAAGACGATAAAAGCGTGTCACTGCACAACTGCCACCTTAGTTCCTTCCACAACTTCAAGTTACATACCCATCAACAAAGACCCCAAAGGAAGAAGGGAAATTAATACGAAATTTTTAATTTTAATTGAGACATGAACTCTCAAGCAACACTGGATTACGAGGCTGTGTCTCTTTAAAAAAAAAATAAACCTTAGTCCACTTTCACCCTTATCTTCGATTAGCTGTAATTCCATGAAGGGAAAAGCAGTGAAGTATTGATCTGCCATACAAAGCACTGAACACAGTTTTCAAAGACTAACACTGATGCTATTGGTGAATAAAGCCAACTACCACCACTTAACATGTTTCCTTACATGGAGCAGCTCTATAAAAATTCACACTTACTGTCACAGTGGTTCTCAACCCCTTCCTATTTACAGGCCACTACAAATCTTAAAAAAATCTAGCCTGCTGAAATAATATGTGTCTCCTTTTGGCTTGGTACCGTGTGCAATGGTACCAAGTGACTATGTACACTTTGCAGTGAAAGAAAGTAGCCTTACATGATACCTGCATGCATAATGTGATACCTAATATTTGACCTCTCATGATCTGATCTTTCTTACTAGATGCAAGACTGTCCTAGGTCTCTGAATGGTAATACCACCTCAATCTTGCATCTGGAGAGAATAACCTCATCTTGCCTACCTACATGACTGGGTTTTAAGGCCAGACAGCCAAATAATACATGTATTTATGGTCAGCATTGCTTTGCTAATAACTTTGAATTAAAGATTTTCTTCTTAGGAAAAAAAGCAAACAGTGGATAGTTAGGTTTGAAACCACTGCATTTTTCTAGTTGGTAAGACTGCTATAAGAAAAGGCAATTTAATTGCTGTGGGAAGAGGCAAACTGTAAGGATTTTGTAAGGGAAATGTAAAATCACACTGTAACTTCTTAAGAGCTGTAGAAACTTTCACTATTGGGCCACGTTATATCTGATTAGGTACTCTTTATCATGTCATGAAAGGCTGAATTATATCAATAAAACCACAAGACAACAACATAAGCAAAGAATCTTTTTAAAAGCACAGGTGCTACAAAAGTCCAGAGCTGGAACAAGTTCCCCAATATGAACTGTCACTGTTAGCAACAGTTTGCAATTACCCTTTGACTATAATGGTCTAATGGGAGAATTCCTTCATCTTCACTCAAATTCTAATCTATTTTAAATTAGCAGTCAATGCATTTTTGTGAAACGCAATGTGTTAAAATCTACCGCTAAAGTGTAAACACGCTGCCTTTGGTAGTAGACCTGGCTATCCAGAGGACATAAATGAGGGATGGTTCAATGAAGCTGACACATGGCAGAGGAAAACACTATTTGACTCAGATTAGGATTATTATTTATTATTATTATTTTGGTTCTATCCTGCTTTATGCTCCTTGTTCAACAAGTGGAAAACAGGAAAAATATAAGATGGGAACACAATCTGCCCTATCAGGAATGCACCCATGAAGTTCAAGAATATGGTACTTTTTTTTAAAATGCCTCTTGAAATTCTCAGGCAAAAATACTTTCATGAGAAATGATCAGAGATTGTTTCTGGTAAAATTAATGAACTGCCCATGAAAATACATCCTGTGATCTGTTTTTAAAAAGGATCCACCCCTAAAATACATAGATTTTGTCTAGATAAAAAAGCTACACCAATGTAAGTTCAAATTCTTATTCCTGTTCATGCTCGTGGACGACCTGAATGATATTTTTTTTTCTTGAAAATAAGACTGTATTTGGAGTTTAGCTCATATACTTTCATCATTGACTTTTAGGTAAAAGGAAGGAACGAACTCAAGTTTTCCCTTTCGACTGTTATGACATTACTGGCCAAGCAGCCCGACTGCGAGCCACGGATGGCGGGGCTTCAGCTGGGCTGCACCGCCGCTCACACAGCGCAGCCAGTCCGACCTCAGAGCCCGGAGCCACAAAGAGGCTTTAAGGAAAAGCACGAACCAGTAATATCTATAAACAGCCGTTTGATGTTCAACACTTATACTTCTTTTTGGTTTCGGCGTAATAACGCCGCTCCCCATGCCGGTGAACTGGCAGTCAGTCGCTGTTCTAATCTGTTCGACCAGTCTCAAAAAAAAAAAAAATAGTTTCCCACTATTTCAGACTGTGATGGTGAAGGCTGAGAGATAGAGCGGCAAGTCCCCGAGAGCCCGCTGCGTTCAGTGCACTTTTAGCGGGTCCCGTCTCTGAACGTTTTGAAGTGACTCGGCCGCGGGGCCAGACCCCGCGCCCCCCTCGCCGTGCCCCGCACCGCCCCTGCTCCGTCCCGCACCAGCTGCCGCCGCTCCGCTCGGCGATGCCACTTCCCCGCTGAGCACGGCGGGTCCCTCCCGGCGGGCTCAGGGCGGGCACCGCTCCCCGTCCCCCCGGGCGGCGCCGCAGCCGCGCTCCGCAGACACCCGGCAGGAGAGAGCCCGGTGGGCCCGCCCCTCGCTGGCCCTCGCCCGCGCCACCGCCCTTCTTCTTCTTCTTCTTCTCCTCCTCCTCCTCCCTTTCTCCTCCCCCTCGCGGCAGCCCCGAGCCCCCTCCCCTCGCTCCCGAGCCCCGACCGCCCTTCTCACCTCTCACGGTCCGAGAAGGGGGCGCGGTTGGGAGGGGGCGGGGAAAGGAAAAAACCCACACGGGAGGCCCCCGCACTCCCTCCCGTCCCCTCCCTGCCTCCTGCCCGGCCGCGGCCGCCAGCGCTCCCGCCGCGCCGCTCCCCGCGGGCAGGGGCGCTCCCGCCCGGCGCTGTCGGGTCCCCGCGGCCCCGCCCTGCGCTCGGCGCCTCCGGCGGGGCAGGGGCGGGGACAGACGCGGGGCGGGCCCGGTTTGGGCCACGCCCCCCGGCCCTCCGCCCCCTGCCGCGGGGCGGGAGCGGCGCGCGCCGCGTGTGGCGGGGCGGGGCTGGGGCCTCTGCCCTCGGGCTGTGGCGCCGCGCGCCCCCTGCCGGCGGGGCGGGGGGGGAGCGGCAGGGGAGGCGGTTTGTCCTTTTGTGGGGTTTCTCTTGATTAACCCCATAAAAGCTTCGTCCTGTCCCTGCGTGCCTGTCTTCCAAAAGCACGAAGCCGAACTCTTCCTTAGCTGCCCACTCCCCCATTTCAGAGAAATAAAGCTGCGGTGACACAGACCGCAGCCTGTAGCCTCCCCTCAGGAATCTGTGCCTGTGTGGTGCTGAGGCAGCTGCTCCTCACCGCCTCATGGGCGAACACACACAGCCTCTTCTGCCCTCGTCGAACAATGCCTTAGCAGGGACTGCTACCTTCCAGAGATGGAATGACTTTCCAAATTAATAGACTGTGTGACAGCATGTAAGGGTGCACAAGGCCACTGCTGAGGCATGGTGGTACAGGTTTGATGCAGTAATGAGATAATTCTTTGTTTAATTCTGCATGGAAATATGGCCTGTGTGGCTGTGTGCTTTGCCTGTCTGCCAGTTCTCACCCTGGCTGGCTTTAAATGACTGAGCTAATTTGAACTAAACTTGACTAAAGGATAGGGTTTTCAAAGGTACCAGTTGTTCCAGCTGTGTAAAAATTATTAGCTAGGTGTAGAGTAGCGTGCCCCAAGGAATCTGTTTTCCAGGTCTGTTTGTGGCCAGGCCACACATGCTGAACTGCCTGAGGATAGCAGTGTCTAAAACTTAAGGTATCCCTGGGGAACATGCAGACAGATCACATCTGGGCCCTCTGAACTCAGAAATGAAACTAAAATGTGCCATCACAGTAGCCCTAAAATAGATATTCCCCATCTGTACTGCAGAGTTCTTGGAAGCCTTCTTCTATAGAATCTAAAGCTCAACATGTTTCACAGGTTAATACTTTATCAGCCTGAACTTGCGTGGGATCCTATAGGGCAATTTCTATTTTGACCTTGGGCACTACCAACAGCGATGACAGTCTGACTATATCAGAAAGGGACAGATACATGACATAGTCTTCCTGCTGTTTTCCAGTATTTTCTACACTCCTTCTGGGTAGATAGGATGGGTGAACACCACGCAACCTTGAAAACAGGAAAATATAAATTGATACAGAAGATACATAAGGGGCAAAACCAAAGTAGAGCTAATTTGCTAATGGATGACATAAATTGAGTAGTGTTTTACTTTTTAAATTCATATCTATGATTTTTTGTATCCTGTTACTTCTGTTCCACCATACTGCCAAAAAATCAGTTCATTTTGCTTTGGTTTCATTGCTTTCATTGCTTTCATTGCATAAAAGCAATGTATTTAAAATATCATATTAACAAACTTCTATTCCCCGCAGCTTCGTTAAGTCTCTTTCCATAGAATGAATACTTCTACCTGCCTTACTCATCTTCTGAGATAACTAGATGACAAGAAGACTGTTTCAATTTTTTAGAGCACCTCTTATTTTAATTTCAATAGCATTGCTTTGTTTGGGTAGTACTCAATATTTAATGGGTTGTAGGAAAAATACACATCAGAAGACAGCTTTCTGAATTAATGAAATCCTTTATATTTTATATACTCAATATTTGAGTCAAAATTTGAGGGTTTTTTTACATATGCATTATTCAGAGTACTTTTATTCAGAACATTTCAGAAATGTTCTTTGCAGTCTCATCTGCAAGAAGAATTTATGGAATATCATGGTGATTGTCAAAATGAAATACTTCACTTTTTTAACTCGAAAGTTGTGATTACAATGTATAGAAATAGCAATGGCTCTATCCAGTCTTCTTGTGGTGTAATGAATAGTAAAATACATACTGAAGACACTTGACAGATTGGCAACACATCTGTTATCTTTTAAGAGTACAGCAGCAATGATAATATGAACAACTCATTTCATTGTACCTAGCCCATCACTTATTGCCAGATCAGAAATTTTAGATTGTAATGACCAAATAGACAGTCTATTAAAGTCTCAAAGATCTTGTATTACATAAAATTATCTTCCCCCTAGCCCCAATGCATATGTATAGAAATAAAACAATGAAATATCCATATCTGACTCATGTGGTTCTGACTCATTTTTATAATGAGGGTCTGATTCATTTTTTTAAAATCTTCTTGGTCAAATGAGAACAAAATTCCTCCCCAAAGATAATTAATTTACTGTTTAGAAGGTATATGAAAGTGGCTATTAGGGGGTTCTTAAAACAAAACTACCCCAAATGTATAGAATAATTTCCATGCATGATTTTTTTCTTATTTTCATTGTAGTCCATGCGTTTTATCTTCAGTATATTCAGTTGAATCATCCCCATCTATGCCAACATAAGAGCAAAATGTGGCTTTCTGCAGCTTAATGTAACAAGAAGTAAAAAGGAAAGTCATAATAAGAAAAGGAAACGAATAGATGTTATTTTGCGTAAAGTCTGCACTAAGTTAAAAGCTAAAACAGGAAGGAAGTTACCACCACTGTGCTAGATGGTAGCGCTTCAGTGACATGTGCTTGCTTTTGAGAAAACCAGCAATCTTCAAATTAGTATTAGGAATAATTACCGTGTTTATATTGTGTTTACCTGAATTTTTCAAAATACATGAAGGTGAGTGATCAGCTTTTATTTATTCTGAAGACTCTTATTTATTCTGAAGTCTGATTTCAATTGAAATGTTGACACGTGCTTTCCTAAAACTAATAGTTAGGATGCTGCACTCATATGGACTTTGAAAAAGATATAGACTCTTTTTATGAGATTTTTAATAAACACAGTTAATTATATGTGACAATTTGAAAGGAGTTTGTCATTCGCTTACAGACTCTGCAAAATTTTTGTTAAGTATTTCTATGCAACTGTATTTTTGTTACCTTCATCATGAAGAGGGTAGTTAAATTGCTTATGTCCTTTTATACCAGGTACCCATGTCTTAAAAAATAACTTAAAAAAAGTTTTTATACTTAAATACCTATAAACCTTTGTACAATTACTATCCGGTAATGAGATGCTGTCTGTGAAGGAGATATGCAGTGGTAACCTGACAAAAAACAGAGTGCAATAGGTGTAGCAGCAGTGCAAATCTTTTAGCACAAATGTCAAATACACCCTAAGGGCTGATACTGGACATGGGATGAATGCAAAATACACGTGTGTAAGTTATGCATTGAGTGCTTTCTTAAAAATTCATAAATAAATTAATATTAAAATAGTTTTGTCACATCCCTTCCTAAGTAAGCATTTGAATAGATAAATGTTATAATAAAAAGCATCCTTTTGACAAATGTTTTGTTTTCTCGGGCATCATGAAATAATTTATTTATGAAACATAATTTTTTGAAAATATTTTGTATCAAAATATATCCAGATTAGGTTACTTATATTTGTTCTATTTTCAGTAACCACAAAGAATAAACATGCCAGTAATTAGAATATCATGTATAGACTTTTATAATTTATAAATGAACAAACTTAGTAAGCTGTCAGAAGTTTTGAATAGCATAACATTGATAAATCACTTTAAGATATTGGAATAATTAATGTTTTACCTCCTATCAGAAGCAATCAAAGTATTTGCTAGAACAGACTACACAAATAAACAATGACATGACTATTACTAGAAGAAAACATTAACCTTACTGTCAAACATCAAAGCTTTTTCCATAATAATTTTCCTAGATTGCACTCATTGGAGATGCTTTATGCTGCAATAGTGTGATCACTGCAGTTCTGATATCTACATAAAATCTTAATCGCAGCATGACTAAAATAAGATTGTGAAGTATATGAGCAGAATAGAATTATATTTGGAACAGCATATAATTATATTTGGGAAACTAGAATTATTGCTGTATTTTGGATATTTTAAAAACTCTGTGACTGTATAACAGACTGGGTAACAATGTTTGAATTACGTGAGAAAGTAAATATGTTGAATGATTTATTAACAAATTCTAAGGATTTTGGGTCTCCGGTTCATTGGAAACTGGTTTTATTTCAGATTTTGTGACAAACCTAATATGTTGAGAATTTTTGGAAGATGTTTCAAATTGCTGGTTACTCCATAAGTTTTCAGCAGACAGAGTTGTTGCAAATCTTCGAGATATGAAATACAGTCACTGGATCTTCCTCTGTGAGTGGTTCCTAAATTAGTGGCGGAGACTTCCTAAGTACTGGATGTTTTATCCCAGGGGAAGTTCCAGCCTTTATTTTCATTCTGGAGAGGGAATAAAAACGGAAATTTCTCATTAGACAAAAATTCAGGGGGAAATCAATTTGCAAAAAACAAGCTTTAAAAAATTTATCAAAAGAATACATTTCAGCATTGCCAGAAGTGAAATGTTTCCTTTATATCTGTAAAGCAACCCACTTGTTTGGTTGCAAGTCATTGAACCTTTGAACTACATTGCTTTAGGGCAGGAGGTGGTTGTTTTGGAGTCTGGTGCTTTCAGTCCCAGACCTGTCCCCTGGGTCCAGCTACTTGTTGGAGTGTATCTTCTTTAATCTATCCATTGTGTATTCCCCAGCTTGTACCGTAGGCCTTGTATCTCTACAATATTATGTAATGACTATAGTTTCCATAAGGAAATTATCAAAATGCAAGTGTATATACTGCTGCATTTATTCAAAATCAGATCAAATGAAAAAGAGTCAAACCAACCGTAAGTGAAATATTTGGGATTTTCTTAAGGGGAAGCAAGTTTTTTACAAATTCCAATCTTCCCTGCGAATAATTTCATTTTAATGGAATTGGATTTTCTATGGAAAAACACCCTGTAAATAGAGGCTTAGTCAAAGAATTTGATAATCACAGAACTTCCTAACATTAAGCATGCAGATTGCAGGTCTTTCAATATAAAGCATTTTCCTAAAGGTACTTTGCATGGTTTTATCTCAGCAATCCTCTTAACTCTTCAGGCTACCTGCATTCAGATTTCACAAACCCCTTTCCATATTTCTAATTATGTTTACACTTGGGAGACTACTTCCCAGTCCTGAGTAAGGAGCAAGCCTCCTATGGGTATGGCTCTCTGTCTGCCATATAATCCAGCGGGAAAGTCTAGTCTTGTTGTAGTGTTTCTTAACAGTGCTCAACAATATAGATCCCTCCTTAGAAAGGCCACAGTCCTGTGACTTGGAAAAAACCCCCAAACTTTACCTATGCTAGATCATAATTTGATTGGCTTTCTCAGTAGAGATATTTCAAGAAGATGGTAAGCACCCTTCCTAACACAACAGCATTCAAAGTTTTTCCACTCAGCTGACATGCCTTTTCCACACCTACAACATGGCTCACAGGCAGCCCTGGAGCCTGTTTAGCCATGTGTGAAGTTCAAGGTGGATTTCACAGTGCTGAACATAGATTGCTGTTACAGCCCTGTCAGCAGATTCTCAAGTCCACATACAGGTTTCTTGGTGAAAAGGGTATATTAGGGAATTATGATTAGTTGTCCTTAGAAGCTGTAGCAGTGGTTTTGGACTGGTTGCCCAGGTGCACACAGGGCTTACCGTGAGAGCGGAGTAAGCATTCAATTTCTCCTCCTGGCTCATCTCCATAGAGAAGTTCTACACAAAACATCCCCTTCAGCTGGAAGAATTTGACCTCAGGAGGCTGCTCCATGCCAGGTTGTGTGGGTCAGATTGTAAGCATTTTGAGGAATATGTTTTTTCTTGCCTCAGGGAAAGATCAAGCCTTAAGTTTTGTCTGACATTTTTCCTTTTTTATCAAAATTAACTTTTTCTTTCCTGCGTAGGATGTGCGTTTTACATTTCAATTTATTATGTTTTACAAGGAGTTTATGACTCTCCCATAACAGTGTTAGTAAAGTGAAGATAATTGGCTTTGGCATTGGACTTTCGATTTTATTTCTGTATCCTGTCTGAAAATCCTGACTGAACCGTTTCTGAGGTCAGCCTGCTGCTCTGCAAGCACAGGTGGCCTGTTGAAGCGGTCAGATTGCAGCTGAGCACTGGAGCAATTAAAAGCTATCTTTTGCTCTCTATACATAAAGACTTATGAACATATTACTCCAGTTGCTCATAATGGGAGTTCGATGCAAAATTTCCTCTTCATACAGACGCAAGGGTACTACTAGAATTGGAAACACAGCTACAAAACTATAGGTTAGTTCTACATCAACTCTGGGAAGTGGTTATTTGTATTTATAATATGTTTCATGTCGGAGTCACAGAAGTTTTTTATTCTTATTTTTTTTATATACTGAAAAAATAGTTCAAAGTTAATGCAAGTAAAAATTTGCATGAAAAAGTTCTACTTTTATGTGGAAGACAGAATGACACTCATTAATAATTAACTCTGTGGTTTTTGCTGCTTGCCAGAACTGCATTAATGTACTCTAGCTACAGTACTTTCATGCTGAAATTTCACTATGAATACCAAACCTAATAGTCATAATTAAGATTTCTGTTTGTTGACTGAACATAAGTGAATGTGAAGGGTGTGGGTGGAGGGTTCAGCAGCATTTCTGTGTATTTTCACTGTGTGGTTTCAATGTCATTTGGAAAGAAAGTTTTCATTCTGATTATAGCTACTTTAGAACATAATTGTACTGGAGATTTGCAACTGCACAGTTCCAGGGCTATGTTCTCTTTCCAAACATGTGTGCTTTCATCTTCTTTTCAAGTACAATCAAATTGGAGCAGCTTTGAAATGTGTCTAGATACCACTGCAAATTCAAGTTACTACTACAAGAGATTTCTTACAATTCAGCAAATAAAATCCAGCATTTAGGTTCTAGAAAGACCTTGTGCATGCTTTCTCTTAAAAATGATGCATTCAATGTGCTGCCATAATCCTCAAGAAAAAAAAGTGCATTTCATGGTAAGATGGTTGAAGGATTCATTACATGGCATTTCAATGTACATATTTGTCCATATGTCCTCTATGACTGTCTTGCTGATACAGTACTCTTTCTTTTACAGCTAACACTGTAATTGTGTCATGCATGGATACCTGTTCATCGAATAACACCACTTTTCCCCTTTGCACTTTTAACAATTCTTGCAAAAGAGCAGTGCAACAAAGAAGAGAAAACCAGAATATTTTGCTGAAGGCCATTATAAATAATTCTGATTTCCAAAATATTCCATGTATTTGCCAGTCCTCCGGGAGGGAACAACAGTCCCATACTAAACGCACAGAATGTGAATCCAAGAGGGATGTGAATGCTGATCATCAAGGATCAGAGTCAGTAGCTAAAAAAAGTAAGTGATTGAAGAGAAATACTTAATTTTGAAGCAGTTAATTACAAAATGAAAGACATGTTTTTATTTGGTAGTTAAAAGAATGTGGTTCTCTATGGTCTTTGCAAATCTGTGAACAATGTCTTTTTTTAGCTTGTCTTTGCATGGCTAGAAAATGCAGGTTTTATTCCAGATTCTCAGTGGCATTTGTTCCTGGCTGTCAGTGAAACATGTCTGTAGCAAAATGTTGATTTCTTTCCTTTGAGGATCTTGGATAAAACAGGGCGAGGGGGGAGTGTTATTTCATTGTCTTTAGGGGGCTTTCTATTAGTCTGGAAGGCGGGTGCTGTGAGAAGAGTGCCTTAGCCAGCAGCCACCTGGAATATTTCTGTTGTAAATTCAACCTCTGCCATCCGGCTTCTATGAACACTCTTATAACCCCAATTTTGTTCTTGTAATCTTGCTAAATTTTCTGATATATTTAATTTATTTTTAAGGAGTTGTACTTTGTGATAATTTTTCATGCTGAATTTACTTTTAAATGTCATTGTGGAACTCTATCTGTAGATTGCTGGTATCGTGAAGATAGGTGTGAGAAAGTATCTGAAGAACTAATTCAGTTGGTAACTATTCAGATGGCAGCAATATAAGAAATAACCACTTTGGTTTTGTAGTCTATGATATCCACAACTGTGCAGTATCAGAAATGGCCATGCTTGTTTTATAAAAAGCAGCACTGAATAAGGAATGGCACTGCAGTACAGAGAAGAGTTCAGCAACATCCACATCTTTTCAGAGCAGTAGCAGCACATTCCTTCTGTGCCATATACACTTGAAAATATCTGGAAACTTTAAGGGGAGAGGATGCTTCTGTATTTTGCTTTTCTAAAATTGTCAGCAACAGGGGCAATTGACCAAGTCCTGAATATAAGAAATGTAGTTATTTTCCAACCGCAAAATTTTCTTATTACAAAATAGCAGTCTTAACAAGTATGGAATATAAAAAGTTATATGTAGACAAACTGTTTGCAGTTATACCTCTACAACTCAACACTTTTTACAATGTCTCTCACCTGTTTCTTGTTAACATAGCGCAAGTCTCGTCTCACAGCTTGTGTAGTTTGAAGTGAAACAAGGACCTTCTGCAACTGATAGGAGACAGACTGTGTACACTTCAAATCTCTATCATCATGTGGCTTTTACTGGGGTTTTATTTTTTTTCATAGCCTGATTTTTGCCTGTTACCTTTGACAACTGACAGAACCAACAAAAACCTGAAAACCTCTGAAGCTGATAGTAAAGCAAGAAAGGGGCTATAAATTGCAGGGGAAATACTATTTGTATAGGTAATCAATCCTCTTCAGATCTGCTCAGTATCCATTTGTCCTTTTTGTAGCCAATAATGTAAAAACCAACTATATGTTTTTGCAAACGAGACAGAAAACTTACTGTTCTTGAGAGTTGTCCCTTGGTCTACCACTTGTTGTACAACAGTTTTGTTTTAATTTTTAATTCCAAGAGCAAAACCTTGAAGTGAAAACAGAAGATGTTGCTTACTTTTATAAATATTTTAATTTCTCTACAGTTTCCAATAAAGAAGTAGAGCATAATACTTATTACCTGATGATAATACACATCAACAATTCTATAGTCGGAGGAGGAAATGCAGCCGAAGAACACCTAAATCGTTCTTGTCTAATGGCAATGATGGAAGACCAAAATGACTGTATGAATATTTCACTGCAACTGAAGTCTTATGTGGAATGTAAGTTACAACAGAGAATCACAATGGAAATCAAACCAGAAACAATCTTGAAAAAGAGAAACAAATCTTGCAAAAAATATCTAGTAGGTAGTTCTCTGCTTTCAGCAATCATTTGAAAGTATTTAAATATTTCAGAAGAAGAGAATACTATTTTGATCATCCCTTAGTAAAAGACCACCGTTAGTAGACAACTAACAGTTTTCATAGTGATCTAAAGCAGATTTAGTTGTGGCCTTGTTTTTTTTCTAAAAGCAATACAGCAAAGTAAATGTCTGTACATTGTGTTTTGCTTAGCAGCAACAGACTCAGAAATTACATGTGTGAAAAAACCTGGAATTACATTTTTTCATTCCTTGGTAATGGCATAACCCTGTTGTGTTGGAGGTAAATTTAAAAATCCCTGTTAACTTCGGTGGTAGAAGGATCAGGAGACAGGTTTGACTTTTTGTAGTGTTGTAGTGCAATATCCTACTGTTCAGCCTCACTACAGTATGCTTAAAAGATGAATGTTCAGCTGAACTAGGCTTAGTTTTCCCTCAGGACAGCCTGCAGTGTTTATATTTCTCTTTGTGCTGCAGGAGTTTTTTAACGGATTGCCTGACTACGGTCACAACTTCCATTCTGTCTATATGCAACACTTGTCATTTGGAAATTGCTGAATTATGACATTAATTTGCTTTTGTACGGCAAATGCATTTTATGCTGCACCTTTGTTGGAAAAAAATATGTGTTTTGGCATTGGCTTAACCTATGTTAAGTAAGTCCAGGTAAAATCCTAGAGAAGAAAGGGCAGCTTAGGGCTGATTTTTTACAAAAATAATTAGGTCTAGCTAGGAAAGAAGCATAATTTGTAACTTGCCCTGCTAACTTGTGTTAGTACTTTGAGCTAACCACCCTTTGCTAATGCTGATTTACTGAGGTAGTAGTTATCTCAAATTAGCAATAAATATTAACAACACATCTTTTTTTTTCCTCTTTACCTCAAAACAAAGCTCAGGGCTTTTACTGAGGAGGGCTGATACAAAAGTCGTTACAAGCCACTACAAGATGGGGTAGGGTGCTCTGTTTGAAAGGAGCCTAAATTAATGTATAAAAGATATTTTTAGTTCTGAATTAGGAGGGATGATCTGTGCCTCGGAGAGCCATGGGGTTATTGGCACTTACCACATGAGTTCTCAATGGAGAAGATACTTCAGGGAAGATGGAGGTCTAATTATACTATTCTAAGTCAAGGAAAGGGAAACAGTGGTTTGGCTACAGTCTGTAATTAATTTTTTTATGAGTCTGAGTAACATATTTGTTTTTTAAAATAGTTATTTGACAGTGCTAAGGTATGCATTGAAATGCAGCTGCCAAAATAGTTTGAAAGGTCTTTCAAACAATCAGAGAGGAAAGTTCCCCACATCCTTTCTCTGTCCTATATAGTTATGGCTTGTACTTGTTACTGAACTAATTCCCTGCAGAATGTGGGTGCATTTCTACAGCAGCTGTTGTCCAAAAGAGCAGCCTACCTCCTGCACCCAATCCTATGGGATTGTCCCCCAAGGCAGTTTTAATTAAAAGAACTCCCCAGAGAGCTCCTGTAGGTGGCATTTCCTCACTTTTTTATAGGAAAATTTCTATAGAATACCTTCTATATAAGGTAGAATCTTATCTTCTCCCATATATGAAGATAGACCAGGAAGTTGAAAATGCCAGTACTGAACAGTGAACTAATTCCTTCTGTGCTCCATCCAGATAGAGGAGACATGTTCTACTCTTGTTCTACCTTAAATAAAAATGTTGATCTTTGAAGCATTTTCTTCCTGGCTGAGTTGAAAAGTTTTCATTCACTTACCTGTAACTATTTCAGCTGTGGGGAGATAAATACAGGTGAAAATTAAGCTAAATTCTAGATAGGAAATTTAATTTCAGAAACCAAAGAAGGCTGAAAGAAAAAGGCATAATCTCTTTTGTTTTGTTTTGTTTTTATCTATGGGGATAAACACGATCCAAAACCCTACCAAAATAGAATGTTCTGCTTTTCTCTGCTGCTTAATTTTATCTCTTCTATGTTTTGTGGACAGATCCAATGTGTATGACGAAGATCATTTGGCTCACTATGATTGCAGTAGTTTTTGTGCTTACTATCTCAACTGTCATCTACAAAATAATCCAAGAAAATAAAAACATCTGTAAGTAAAAAAAAGTTAATCTGCAATTACAAAACTGTTGTTTAGTACTGTAGTTCAGACACTGATATTTTAATTGTCAGATGGTAAAAGCTTCTTAGAGAGGGACTGAAGTACTTGGATGACTGACAGTATCACCTCTCACCTCTGAATTGTGGATCCAAATTCAACCTTGTTGATGGTGAATGAACTGTGGGGTTTTTGACAGATGCTTGGTGGCCTATGCTGCATAGTGATATGAACTTCTGGTTTCACACTGATTTCAGTAGATGAAACAATTACAGCTGAACTTTGTGGAAGGTTTTAAGCAGAAATGTCAATGACCAATATAAGTAGATTGAAATACCCTTTTTTTTCTTACTAAAGATGATTCATCTAGGTCATGGTCAAGAAAAATTACAGGACTGATAGGAGGAGATATGCACTCAGCTGTCTGTCCTAAAAACTGGCTGTCTAAATTCATTGGTGGTATAATCCACTACAGGTCAACCAAGCTGTTTCTTCTTAACCCCAGAGCTGAATTAATCCCGGATAAGATTTTTTCTCTTTGCTATTATTTCAGCAAAGAAAACATTGCTGTGATTTGTGAACCAGTACTATTGACTATTCCAAGTGATTAGAACTTTGCTCTGAAAGAACTTGCCCCAAGTTCAGAGACTGAAATGATTGTTTCTGCGTTATGCCTTCACCAGTCAAGACAGGTTCTTCCTATGTAATTCACTTGGGATACAGGCTGAAATCAGATTTATGGTGTTTTTTCTAGCAATTGAGCAAAGCAAGAACAAAAGTGTAGGAGTACCCTGAGCTTGAGACTTTTGAGCAATCAAGTTCTCTGCAAAAAAAAAACAATGCAGAAAATGGAGCACTTGTTGGCTGCTGGTCCTTGTTTTTCTTCCCAAGTCAGAGGGAGGTGGTACAAGGAGCACACTCCCTTTCGTCTGTATGAAAAGAATATTGCTTAACCTGTTACTTGAGAGAATAGTGCTTAGGTGCTTTCACAGCAATTTCCTGAGACTTTCTGCTTGCATCAGCCCTGAGTGGGCAGAACGCTGCCAGACAACCAGCATTTAGTTGCTATTATCAGGCTCATGTCCATTCCCCTTGTAGTTCAGAAGTGCTGAGTGGAGACTCTGGTCACAGGAGTAATAAAAAATGATAAGCCATATCCATTTCCCTCATCATCCTGACGTATCCACAGGCAGTTTTGTAACGAAAGAGCAATAGGAGTATAGCTTTAATCATAACTGAACAGAATGAAGAAGAGTTCCCCCCCCCAAACATTTCTGTGACTTTTTTTCATAATGTGAATACTTTATAGATATATTTTTAATGAATAAGCAAAATAGTTGATTGAAATGTCAAATTTGTGTCCCCCTACCCCAATTCAAGAAACTCCTTACCAGATTATCTTGGTTAAAATACATGATCTTTTACTTATTGTTAGAACCAAATTCTGAGACCTATTTTATGTATAAAAAACCCCCACAAAGTGTAAATTAGGTCTTTATAAGCAGGCTATTAAGTGCTCTAATTTAAAAGACTTATATTTGTAATCTGAAAACTACTTATAAATGTCACTTCTAGGATTTTCTATGCTTTGAGTCATAACATCTTATTTTTGATGAACAACTATAAGTACTGATGATTAATTCTTTAATACCTTTATTCTTAAACATCAGTTGTCTATTAAATGCGTGTTTTTTAGCGTCACCATGGACACAAACAGGGAGGAAAAGATGCCTTTTGAGGCTTCTAATTACTGATTTGCTTCTAGAATATTTCTGTTAATTGTTGAAAAGTGGTTTTATGAGTTAAATTTATAATATATAACATAATAAACAACATCGACATGTTACTGATGAAAAGAAAAGCACATAAAGTCAGATTTAAAGGCTATATTCCTGATGTGTATATATCACAATATATAATTTTAACTGAACCTTTAATTGCAAGTCTACGTACTGCTTTTTTTCAGTAGTGCTCAAAGAATACAGAACACCATTACTGTGTTCCTGAAACAGCTGCTATGAATTTTTCCATAATTCATTGTCATAATTATTAGTTGTAATTCAGTTAGTAGTTTTTCTCTTAATTTCCGAGCACCACCCAAAGCTGTTAAGATATATGGAATTATTCATTTCCTCTTGAGACCTTGCAAGACATTCTGATAGGCAGATACTTAGACTCTCTGAAACATTAAGTTATTTTCATGAGTGAATAAAATAAAATGTCCAAATAAACTTACTGGAGGTTACAAATGATCCATGAGAAAGACCCTAGATAAGAAATTAGTTGTTTTGCCTTTTCCCTTCCTCCCTTGTCCCACAAACACTTCCAGAGCTTCCTTTGACATTAACTGTTACGGTGTATGCTTAGGGCTTCAGTGTTTTAGATCTCCACTGGCTATTCATAAGAAAATCATGACCTAAATAATTCTAATTTAATGAACTTCTTAGTGTTCTCAAAGGAAAAAGATAAAAATAAATTCTGTTACGTAGAACTAAAGCGAGCCTGTCACCAGAAGCTGGCTGAGCTTCTGGACTGCAGTCACTGTAGAACAGGGGTGACCATAAGAGCTGCACAATTGTCTGCAATAAGCGCACCAAGACCAAACGTTTAGAGAGCAGCAGAAAGATGGAAAGACTGAGGAGTTTATGAACTGGATGCTGAGGAACAGTCAGAGGTGTTCAACCCAGCTCTATCTTTGTGAGTGGTGTGGAGCTTGCTCTCAAACTGGGCTTCCCAAGATGAACACCCCACACTTGCAAATAGTTTGTCAGCTCTCTAGGATGCCAGTGCACTCCATCCTTGCTATCCCACTGTCAGCACTGTGAGTCCAAACCTGCACTGGAACGTGTGCTTTTTTGATATCCTTCCAAGGTACACAGTATAGAAAAATGCAAGGAATAATTTGAAAGGGAAAATATAAATCATCTGGCCCTTGGTTTTCCTTATCCTCTTATTTCAACATCTTCCTGATTTTTTTAATATCTTCCAAGGTGTTCAACAGTTTAAGAGGTTTACCAGCTTTCCTTCTAATCTGTGCTGAGACTAACACATTTTGTTTAAAACAGATTATAAACACAGAGTAGCAATATCAGTTTCTACTATTCTAAGAAGAAAGAGTTCCAGACATTCAAGAAGAACCATATCTGCTACTAAAATTCATCCTTATCCTGGTAAGTAACATAAAAGTAAAAACAAAACACTTAAAAAATCTTGAGGCCTGAGGAGGTCAAGAAAGATTTTTTAAGTCTTTCCTGTCAAGAAATGCTTCAGGTTTGTTTCAGAGTTACCTTGGTCCTACACAAATTTTGTCTGGCTTGTGTTATGGAAATATTTTTGTATGATAAAGAAATAATTCTGACAATAAATCTGTAAGAAGACTTACATATATCATATGGGAATGCTTCTCCCAGTCTTCCCAGAGTGTCGCATTAACAACTTTGAGGTTTTTAACTCCTTTTAATTTTTGATCATGTTATGTGCCAGGTTTGAGGTTTGGCAGCTGAGTACGTTGTGTGTGTATGAAAAGTATAGAGAGATATACATGTGTGTATGTATGCTCTATGTGTTTATGATTCTTGATAAAATCTGCTACCAAAGCATGGAATGTAGCAGGACTCAAAAAATGGCTCTGCTGGCACTTTGTAGCCTATTTCTAGGATAAAATTCCCACAAAGTACAATTTTTGTGTTTCAGATAGGAAAAAAATTGTGGTCTTCCGAGAGTGTAGTATGTTTTAGCAGAGATAAATTAAATGGCATGGATAAACTCAAAGTTTTGATTCTAGAAGTTATGGTTTGGTAACAAATCTCCGTGTAAGTTACAATTAGCAGCTACAGCTGTGTTACTGACACGGCTAAAAGATGCTTTAATAAATTTCATGGCTGCTGGTTTCATGAAGGGAGCTGTATCTTTAAAAAGATTAACATGAACATATAGAATAATAGCTATAAGTGGCAAACTAACCTCCCTCCAAAAGAAGAAAAATACAAAGCCAGCAAATAAAAAAAATGATTTTAAATTTGGCTAGGCTTGAGTACTTTGCTGTTTGTCTTGTTAGTTCTTCAGGAGTAAGAGGAAATGCAATAATTTCTCTCTACAACTCTGTATTTCATGGCATTTCAATTTTACCTAGAAAAGGGTGAATAGCTCCTTGTCTGTCTGAACTCTCCTGTGAGTACAATTTATGCTCCTTGCTCTTACAGCACTGGCTACCTCTGAGATATATTTATGAGCTCATTATTTTCATCCATCAGGAAAGGAATTACTTTTCTGACATCTATTGTCTTGACTAGCTTAACTAATACCATACCTGTTTTATCAGCATGTTCACAATGGCATTTTTAGTGTTGTATATCCAAAGGCATTTTTGATGTGGAGTTTTATGGAAATTCAGATCTAGTTTTACTAGATTTTACTGAAGATAATTCCTTATTGGTCTGTCATTCTCACTTCTATCTGACTTCCACGTCAATCTATCTGTGTAACACAGAAAGATGTTTAATTGCATGAATTGCTGTAATAAGATTATTTTAATACAAAATTCCTTGATTTCACACACCAAAATTTCAGTCAATCCAATCAATTTCACAGTTTATACCAATGTAATTTAAAGTGGAGTCAAATCCATATGAAGAGTTTATTCTTTCCACAATTGCTAAGTTTAAGATTTGCTACTGTGATAATGGATTATAAATAGTACAATGCCTTTGTTCACAGCCCTTGATGATATTTTCACTATCATTAGTGCATAGCTTGCAATTTTGAAACAACACATTGAGATCCACTGAAGACAGTACAGCCACCCTGGAAACACAGTAATGAGTACTTGAGAGGATGTGACTGTATATCATACAGATGAAAAGATCTATAGGTACTACTGAAAGGTTATTCAAAGTTCAGAAAACTGTAAGGGATGAAAAAGAACGAAACCTATATTTTGAGAATCAGAGTCAATTCCTAGGTAGCTCAGAAAATTAGTGTCTTGATGTCACTTCGGTTCTACAAAAAGATAATTTACAGCACGGATGCCTGTTATGTGAAACTGTTAGTGGCTTTATGTACAGGAATTATTGTCATCAAGTCCAGCAGCCAGAGGAAAGGGGAAAAATGCTCTCTAGGGTAGGATTAAAGTTACAAAACTTCCAGATTAGTGGTGCTACAAGGGTGTAAGCACATATAGGGAGGACAGGGTGCTTTAAAGCATTCTGGTCATAAATGTTGTCTAAACATTGTCTGTGCTGTTAAGGCAAAAAAGAATACATTACAGTGTGGGGTTTTTAAAGCATGTTTTCTAGACTCTGGATCTGTATTTATGTGTAATAGTCCCTTGAATGGTATGAACTGACAGAACAGAGTTGCCCTTAAATGCAGCCACAAGAGAAGGGAAAGACTAGAGGGTGCTTTTTTATTTAGTGCAAGAAGTAAGTATTTTTAAAGTGGCTAATCTGTATTTCCGAACGTAGAATAATTTTGTATCAATGGGACTTGATAGTAACATGTGGAAACACATGGAAAATAACCCACAGAAGGAATGTCACTTCCTTGCTTTGTGTTCGCTACAGAGAATCTTAGTGATTCCCACATAAGAGACTTTTATTGCAAGAATTTCTTTAAGAAACTTTCTTAAATTGAAGAGGCAGTAGAAGAGATTTTAGAACAGCATAATAAATTAATAATAGCAATCAGAAGGACTAGAAAGTAACCCCCAGAGTGTTTTAAAAGAACTTAGATAGAAACTGCTGAATTATCATTGCAGCTTACTGCTTAAATCAGCCTCAGTTGCACATAAAGGGAAGGCAGTTATACTTACCCTGCTGTTATTCCTTTTCCTTAGCTCATTTTCCCTATACCACTTTAGTACCTCTACTATGTTTAGTACTACTAACTGATTATGTGCAGCTGTTTTCATATAGCTGTATCTTAAAAAAAAAAATCAGTCTGGGGGCATGGTACAGAATTGCTTGTTGGGAGCAGGCCAGTGTGTGTGAACTGTTTGCTACTTTATATAAAAAAACCCCCCAAACAACAAGTTGCATAGGAATCAGATTGTATAAATCAGGGCATTCAATACCTAAGCTGAATCTGCCCAGCAGGGTCTGGAAGTTTCATTAATATAACTAATGAGTTATACTTAAGTGGGAGTTTATATTACTACAATTCTACCGCTATAAATTTGCATTTAGACTTTCTTTTCCTAGAGTAAGAATGGCATTCCTTGTTTATTTTTCTCCTATTTTGAAAGTGACATAAGGTGTGTTGAAATTCTATACTAGAATTGGACCATGCAGAGAGGGAATCATATGGTTAATATCTTGTTATTACTGTACAGTCTCTGTGGGCAACCTTAGTTCAAGCATAATGCCTTGTTCTACATTTCTCAAACAGATATATTTTCATTTACAGTGATACTCCATTGGCTCATGGAACCACAATTTGGTTTATTACATTTTAGGATACAAATACAGGATTCCTTGTCTCACACTACTGGCTCACAGTAATACAAAGTTAATTTTCATAGATGGTAATTTTATAAATCATCCTGAAAGAAGGACATCGCAGTATCACGATGACAACTGGGACTCAGAGAATAAAACCTCAGGGTTTCTGGCCTGCAATTGTTTCCTGACTTTTCAGACTTTTTGACATTCATAGCATTTGATATAAGTGGGCTTGACAGCTGTAATTTGCACATAAGAAACAACAAGACAAATTTCCTCTTGGTCATTTGAATTCCTGTATTGTTTTCTGTGCTACACTATTACAATAATAGTTCCTCTCCTACATGATTAGAGGAAATAGGGGAAATTCTGCCATCTCTCTGATGTGTTGCTACAGCTTCAGGTTAGTTGACAGGTTGGAAATAGAAGCAAATGCTGACTCAGTAGTGTCAGGGCTGGAATCCCAGCGAGTTCAGATTCACTCTTCCTTGTATTCTGCGACACATTTTCTTTTTAATGAGGAGAACAGGCAAGATACATCTTTTACAGCAGCACATATATGCAAAGCCAAGAAAGGAGAAATTTGTTTAATCTTGACCAATGGAAGTATCAGCGACTTCATTCTGATTCCTCTCGGTTCCTGACATAACTGAATAGTTGTTTTTTCCTCGGCAAGTGAAATGAATAATGCTGGGAAAAGCAAAGCTTGTCATAGTATTCAATATTTAGCAGAGACTTAGATGTTTCTGAGATGCAACATTTCCAGAGAAAAGTGCAAAGACTTATTATCACTTTGGGGCTTTTTTATTCTTCAGATAAAAAGGAGGATAAAATCTATAGGATGCAGGTAACTTTCGGGAGCTTTTTAAAGCCCCTGAATGCTTTCCATAGAGCCCTGATGCACAAGAGGCCTTTTTTCTGCTTGATTTGCATGCATGCAGAACACTGTTACACACAGGCACTAAAGGGAATATTAGCCTACCTTCACATTCTCTCCAGGTTCATCCTGGAGGTGAAACAAGACACATTGTTATTTTTTTAAAACTACCCCAGTTTTATTTTGAGTTTGCTTTTCATATTCAGTTGCTTAATTGCAAAGATCCAAACTCTACTTTTTTATTGCATTTGTAAAGAGAGAAGCCCAAATGATACAGTCAGTGGAGAAGGGAAGTAGCTAAATATAAGTAGCACAGTTTATCCTCCTGTTATCAACTCAGTAGAAATCCATTTGTAAGCTTACAGAAGTAATGGATGGTCAGGGACAGAATGGACCTGGAGGTAAAATATTGTTTTTGTTCTACAGTAGTTCTTTGACAAATGCACTGGATCATCAACTCTGCGTTATTTGCCTGACAATGCTATTTCTGCATTTCCTTATCTGTATCACAGCAAGATATCAGGATAGGTGTTATCAGTGTGCTAAAGGCATCACCACACCTTTCCTGCTTCTGAGGTTCATGCTGTCATCTTTGTTAACAACATGGTGATACACAGTATCTCCCCTGTGTGTATGACAAGTGAGCTGAGGCCACATCATGTGTGCCTGAGTGGCAATCTGTGCTGCTCTTAAGTGAAAATTAATCAAGAAGTTCACACTCTTATTTTCAGTTGTTTCTGCTTAACTGGCCAAATGTAGGGTTTTGTATTTTGGGGGACTCATATCAGGACCTGAGGGAATGGCCTGAAGTTGTGTCAGGGAAGGTTTAGGTTGGATATTAGAAAAAGGTTCTTCCCCCAGAGGATGGTTAGGCACTGGAACAGGCTCTCCAGGGAAGTGGTCACAGCACCAAGCCTGACAGAGTTCCTGAAGCATTTGGATGATACTCTCAGGCACATGGTGTGACTCTTGGGGATGGTCCTGTGCAGGACTAAGAACTGGACTTGACGATCCTTGTGGGTCCCTTCCAACTCAGCACATTCTGTAATTCTGTGAACTCCAAATCTGCATGCTTTTGGATTTTCACTATTCAGTACATTTCAGGAGCAATTTATTTGCCTACCTTCAAGCTGCTTCCCAGGAAGACTTAGGATCAACGTGCTGTAGTCCTACTGGTATTAAGAAGAAGTTAAATACAAAACATTGTTAGTACTTTCAGGAGTTTCTGACATGTATCTGTGTCTCTGGGCACTGAAATCTCACTGAAAACCTCTTTGTACATCTCTGTCTTATGTTCAGATATGTCTCAATTATTTTCAAACTTGCATATTCAAGTTCAACACTCTGCAGATGTACTTGCTGTTTTATAATATGGATAAAAATTTTTTTAACTTTCAATAGTGAAAACTAGCAAACAACAGATTCCACTTACTGCACAGACCACAAAGACACTGCCTGTAATTCCTGAACAAGAGCATTGTCATGTGGATCAACTCTAGATTTAGAAGGTAAGTAAACATCTTACAACTCTGATTACTCTGTTTTGCCTTGTATTTTTGGAAGTAATAGTAGGCAATATCTGCTCAAAATAAATTACTACTTTGTCTAGCCAAGTATATGAGATGAAAAACTGGATAATGTGTTTTGTAAGATGTAGGTGGCAGGAAAAGAGAATCAATTTTCCTTCTGCTACCAAGAGTGATCTATAATCAAATGTGTTAGCCCATTAAACCCTGTGTGTCCCTGCAGGTCCTGGTGCAAATTTTGACACTTTTTTTCGGGTGTAAAGTATTGTGTCCTATACTTCAGCAATGTACTGGCCTTTGTTTCTGACAAGGGCAGAGGGAAAAAAAGCAATTTGCAAATGATCTCTGAAGAAAATCCCATATTTTAAATACATAGCTTGCTGATGAAACTCCCCAAACTAAAGAAATCGATCACTCTGATGTTCTCACACCAGTCAGAAGGAATGACAAGAAGATGGTTTCCACTTGGAACTAAAACTAGTCTCCCACTTCTAACTTTCTCCAGGCCTTGTGCTCCAGTAATTGTTTCAGGAAGTCCAGATGTAAGGAAATAAGTCTGGAAAGAAATGTGCACTAAGAGGTATCTCTTCCTGAAAATACTTGTAATGTCTAGAAACAGAACAGATGCTACTTGAATAAGTAATATAGACAAGGTTATGCTGCTTGAATAGATGATATTACTGTGTGTGGTAATTTTTTAGGTTCAAAGCTTAAGGAGGCTCCTTCTTTACCTTTATTTAAATTGGATGCAGTTTTATATTGAAAACTCAATATTACGTCATGCTATCTTTTTATTGTGTTAAAAATAATTGATGTACTGAAGAGCAGTTTGACATTTTTGCTTCATGTGGAACCATGAAGATGAAATCGTACGTTGAGAGCAGAGCTAAAGAATAAATTTTTCAACAGTGTTGCTGACAGAAGATGAGGTACCTCCATAATAAATTAAAAACTGAGCTAGATAATTTTTTGGCGTTTGAGTGAGTCTGGCTGGGTCATAGGATGGTGTACTACAGTAATTAAAAATACTGACCACTTTTTAAGTGGTTGCCATCCATAGATCTTATGAGGACTTACAGAGATGAGAAGTTGTTATTATTACTGTTCTAAAATGAGAATATCAGGAGGCACAATGAGATAACATGACTTGGGAAGTCTGTGAACATAACTGAGAGCAGCTCTCAGATCATCTGAGTTCAGCTGTTTGCCATTTGGACTCAGCTTCCCAGTGAGCAGACATTTTGCAGGCCCCATCAGCCTTCCTGTAGGGCAGCTTCTTCCTTTTCTCAGGGACTCCTCCCAGCCATTTCAATTCTAGACCTTTTTTTTTTACTGATATTTGTCAACTGTCTCTCTTTATCTTCCCATATCCCTGTCTGCTATATACCTACCCACCTTAATTGGTTTTTTGTGAGAAGATTTACTCTCAGGTTAAAAATAAGACATTTCCTAGGTTGTAATAGGATGCATCACTAGGGGGGTGCTCACCTGTATTCAGTGCCTTCATTTATACAGTATTATGGCTGATCACTAGTGTGCTTTCTCCACCCAGGATGTTGCGTTCACCAAAACTCATCTTTTAGAAGCTGGGAAAGAAGTCATGGCCCATTCCCATGCAAATTTAATTTTTGTGTTGCTAGACATGGGAGTAAATGTTGGGATGACCTTTTGCTTTCATTATCTTAAGTGTTAAGTATTAAAGGGTAGAAAGAAGAGATGGAACAACTTTTCAGATATTTGATTGCTTTATGAGACAATATATGAGATCTGGGACACTTTGGGATTAATCAATCCCTTTCCTTAATCTGTGGGTGAGTGACTGAAAGATCAGGTGTTTTGAGAAACCCCAAAAGCCTTATTCAATGCTGCACTGTACAGAAGTAGCCTTGCTTTCCAGGCCATAACTCGGTCTTCCTGTCAGAGGGACAGCTGGCAGTGAGGTGAAAGCTGGATGTGATCTGTGGGAATAATGCTGAGTACATGAAATTGTAGTGTTACATGGCATTGTGTGAAAATATTATTAAAGGATGTAGCTGCAGAGGCAGGAACTTAGATCTAGATCTTGCCTTTCATGATGTTAGGTTTTGAATACATTTCTCAAAGCCATACTGTCTCAGAGCTAAACACTCTGTGACAATAATCAAAAGTGCTTTCTGCTTTAGCTTTGCTTCACTTCCTCCAAAAAACCACTTCTCCCTTCCTTTGATAAGGTCAGATTCAGCTCATTACTACTTGTGTCTGTGAGTGGCTCAGTGGCTACCAATGCTGCAGCTACTGAAAAGCTTGTTAGCAAGAAGTGCTTTTGGTTACCAAGGCTGGGGAAGGAGATTGTCATCTGCTTTTCTCATGAGTGCTGGGTTTGTCTCTATGAAGTCTCTACAATGCTGCTAAAGACTAGTTTGCTCAACAAGGAGGAGCTGGCTGTGCTACAAGTGCTGCACATGAACAGCTGAGTCCTGAGACTGAAAAATGCAAAAATGATAAAGTTCCAGAATTGACAAAGACAGTTTTAGACTCCATCGACTTGATAAAACCTGTTTTTCTTCCAGAGAAGGAGGTGGGATGGAGATAAGAAGTATGTATCAGGAGCTTCTTGATCAAAAAGGATCATCTTTGTATCACACTGACTGCTGCTCCCCTGAAGCACATGCATTTCAGACCACTGATACAAGAGCCTCCTCAAATAAGGAAGGGTTCTAGCCAGAGCTAGAAATCTGAGTGAGCTCCTGGGATAGTGCCAATCTCACCCTTCCCTGCTTCAAATCTGGCTTCTGTCTAGTTGGTAAGAGTTACCTCCATGCCTGCCCTGGATCAAATAGGCAAGACAGGGACAGGCAAACCACTTTTGAGCTACACTTTTCCTCATTTCCAGCCAGCTGAAGCTGCACTAAGAAAAAGCATTAACTACAGCACAGCATTTGATTCTGTCAGGAGGCTGCCTACACAGCAGCTGTGGTAGTTGTAACAGCAGCATGAGAAGGAGGAAATGAAAAAGCAAGGATCACTCTGATCACCATCATTATTGCTACTGAGCTGGAGAACCTGCTGATGGCCTCAGCAGTGGCCCTTAACCCAACACATTGAAAGCTGAAAGGCTGAACGACATTATTTTTGGCCACAGGAATGGTCGGGGAGATTGATTTGCATATTATTTGCTCATTGCTGAAGTTTGCAACCGGGAAGTATTCCTCTTCTTAGTGGATTGGGAGAATACCTATAATCAATTACACATTGCAACTTTCTGCTGTGTTTTTCTTTTCCTGCCAGAAAAAGACATGTTTCTTTCTATAAGTGTATTTTAAAGTCTTTAAGACAATACTGTTGATCATAAAGTATACTGATAAACATATGAGCATACATGTGTGGCCATGTTTATAAATATACTTACACTCCATGTGTCTGTGTGTATCTATATATCTGTATCTATATATCTGTGTGCATACAGAGAAATGCACACACATGCTTCATTATTTACTATCACGCTGACAGCTAATTCAGTTAATAAGAAATGCACAACTTCTGCACTTGTGCCTTTGCCAAAGGAGAATCTCTTCAGCATAGGCTACTTAATCTCTGTGTATTTTCACAGTAACTATTATTTTTACATTTGAGTGCCGAAGGTAAGAATCCTCCTCTGTTTTTGCCATCTTTCATTAAACTACCATATTAGCAACTGTCCTGGAAAAAATTAATAAGCCATTTCCCTTACGTGTTTTAAGACAGTCCTCTCCTTACATATGTCATGGTTTAGAAATGGTATTTTCCAATTTAGTACTCCTGCTAAAACCACATTGCTGCTTGCTTCCCCTCCCACTCCCCCTCCAACTGGAAGCACAGAAGGCACAGATCATGGTTTGAGTTAATATTAATAACAAAAGGTATAAGACAAAGAAATGATTTACGCTGCTCTTCAATCTTTGAGTGATTGGGGCAGAATAAAAGCCACGTGTTTATAGCATGAAGAGAAACCATGAGGCCTCTCCTGCAGTACTGCTCTCCTCTGCCTGTTTAAGGGGAAGCAGCACTGTATTTTCTGAATCAAAAGCAGCATTAATGGATTTCATGAATGACTAGGGACAGAACACTGTTCTATTTGGGGAAATTAGAGACCGATACAGACCTGACAGTTCCTGGAGGAAGTGCTGCCATTTTACAAGGAAAGAAAGAAGAAAAACTAAGTGTCTTAAAGCCAACTGTTGTGGACTTTCCCTTTTTTTCTTTTTTTTTTTTCTTTTTTTTTCTTGGAAGTGCCCAGTGCTATGCTCTGACCTGATGCTAGATCAAATTCACCCAAATCGGTCACTATTATCCCGAACATTTTATTTATTGCAATCTCTTTGACAATCAATGCCCCGAGGGAAAGATAAAACAATCTTGGTGTCCTACATCCCATTAATTCTTTTAATAAAATGGGTATACATGTTAAAGGCCGCATAAAAGATAATGAAAGTTCCACATCAGCAATTGCCACTGATTTTTAGTACACTGCCTTTTGCCATCGATGCTTTCAACTCTCTTTGTAAAGAGCTTTGAGATTCTTGAACACGTAAGGTGCTTCACATCTCTGTATTTCTTTCTGAGTAACAGTGCTACTGTCTGACAAGTCAGTCTCCCAGTGAACATAGAATTTAAAGCAGGATCTTATCTTCAGGTGAAATGGATTATAACACTGGACCACAATGTGGATGACAGGTAGGGACGACGCACAGGGGAAGCATGTGTATGGCTGAAAAGATGAAAACTTCTTTCAAAGAAATTGTAAAATAGAAGAATTTGATGGGTCCTTTTAATCTCTTACAATCTGAGAAGCATGTAGACATGAACCCTCCTATGGCCACAGTAAATAACTAAGAGTATGAGAGGTTGATTCCTATCCAGCTACATTCACAGTATCATCACTGCCGTTGTTTTCTAAGGAAACGCTCCCCTAGCAAATTAGAAATGTGATTGTGCATATTCTAGTCTAATGCCAGAAAAGTTCAGTGCAGATGTACCTAGGGTATTACCTGGGCTTTGGCTCAGGCCCCTGCTACCTTCTTGAAGAGGTCTTTAAATGCCATCATTGCTGAACTTAGTAGCACAAACAGAAAGTGCAGCTAAAAATATTCTTCTCCTGCTTTTCCTTATGTGACTGTGACTTTACAAAAAATGTTTTCATATTTTAAAGAATCTCTCATCTGTCTTCAAGCAAGACACCCACAGAAACAACAGAAGATAGACATTATGCAGAGAAAACAGTGAAACTCATAAAATATTCTAGCAAAGACAAGTACCGAGTGTGCTCAGGAGTGAGAGAAAGATTACAGTTAAGCTGTTTTTCATGCAGGTGTTTGTAAAGAATAGTAGATGTGATTTTAAATTGCTAGGATCCTTCCAATTATCCTTTTGACACTGTTTCTGAAAAGCATTGCTTCAGTGCTCTGAAGTGATACTACTGGAGTTAAAGCTATCATAAAATATGGAGTGAAGCTGCTGAAGGCAGAAGTTCCTACTAATATACTGACCTACTGGGTTTGCCAGTTGGCTCTTTTTGTTAGACATAATTTTTTTTACTTTCAGTAATTTCTGTAGATAACTATGATTCTATGATTAATGCCCTCATGCAGCTTTAAATTGTTTTCAGAAGTGTATGCACTCAATTACATTTGTTTTTTAATTATGTTTGTTTTTTAAGTATCATGAAAGGTAATTCCTCCTCTGTTTCTGCTTCAAGTCTTAATCTTACATTAAAATGAAAACTCCT